ATCTGTTGAGGTCCCTTCTGACCCTAGCATCTATGAATGGTACTCTTAGGAAGTGGATGGCTGCATGGAACCAGAGGAAAATTCTATTATTTAGTAGCAGATATATTTAGATCAATAGGCATTTTTTTAAGGATGTAAACATATGTGGAAATCAGCAAACTTTCCATGTATGCTTCCTGAAAATTTAGTCCTAAATGCTTTTGTACTGTTTTTATCTGAAAGTAATAACTTTGCTCTTTAAGCATCCCATTCTGAATACCTGGATTACTTGGAACACAAGGTTGACTAAATTCCATGGGCACATCCAGACGTGTGTAGATGTTTGGTTCCCTGGGGACAAGTAGCAGCGGCAAACCTTGCCTCGCTGCTGCTTGTCCCCAGGGATTGCCCATGCCACACACTCTGGTGTGCAGCAAGTTGCCCTTGTTGGGGTAGGGGATGCTGGGGCCAGCACTGGGGGCTTCCTGGGGATGTAGCCACGATGATCCGCTGCATAGAGCCTGGCTGACAGCAGTGTGTGGCTGCAGGAGGCCCAGCTGTGCTTTTCAGCAGTGTGTACTGGCCGAGCATGTGTTGCTCCATTTTGGGGTTTTTCCCATGTTTTTTCTTGACCCCTAAATATCCATGGGTCAAAAAAAGCCCGTGGGGAAAAAAACCCAGTGCAGCGCACACTTGGGCAGCATGCCTTTGCAGTGTGGAGAACACTGAACTGTGCAGTATGTGCACATACTGCACAACTGCGTTTGTCTAGACGTGCCCCGTTAGTTCAAGGAGTATAAACTGTTGTAACATTTGTGTATAGACTCATAGAAGAGTAGGGCTGGACAGGACTTCTGGAAGTCATCTAGTTCAACTCCCTGCCTGAGGTAGGATCATCCCTATTCAAACCATCCCTTACAAATCAGTGAATAAGGCTGGGGAAAAACCCTGGGCCCAGCTAGCCTGGAATATATTAGTCCCCACTATCCTCCACACAGACCCAGCAAATTGCCCCAGCTAGGTTACCTCAGTGGTTGAAAGACAAGAGTCACAGCTTTCATCCTGTCTGCTGTTGTGCCCTTCAGCCATGGAGATGTCCCCAGGCTGTCTGTTAAGGTCACACTAGTCAGTCAGCTGTCCATCATTTATCCTTGTTAGCTTCCATGGCCCAAGAACTACAGTGATTTTTTTTTTTTTTTTTTTTTTTT